ACTAAATAAAAATAATATTAAAAGTAGAAATAATTTTAGCTGGAGCAGGAAGTTGCTTAGCTTGTGCGCGTGCCTGAGGGAGAGGCGCTCGAGCGCTGTATCATTTGTGCCGGTGATTTAATAATCTACTTTCATGTCACACGAAAACAAAATTAAAGTAACTCGGAAGAGTTTCCAGCAAACGTAGGTTAGTAAAACGTACTGGTGTTTTTACCAGAGTTGTAACTACTAAATGAACCTTATCTGATACTAAATCCAACGATTCTTATAAATACTTCATTATAAAATCCCATAAAAGAATAACATGTTACAATGCATTTCCTTTAACCTTTTTATTTAGTAGGTTTCAAAGGAAAAATGCTGGTAAAATCTAGATGAGTAATTAATGACTCATGTCTGAAACTAATCTCGGCACAGGTGTTATTTAAACACCTTAAACTTTTTCCAATTTAAATAGAAATATCGTTATGAAGAATATGTGAAAGTCTTTGTGATCAGCTGTGATTTTTTTTTTTGCGCTGTTTTAGGGCATTTAGATCTTTCTAAAAAAAGTTTTCAGTTCAGAGCAGACCTGTTTTAGGATCTTTGCTTGCTTGTTCATGAGATGCCTGCAACATACAGTCCTGTGTAAATCAGTATGTTATGATCACTAACAGGAAGTTAGAAGACAACAAAAGAAAATCATAATATTTTTAAAAAGAAAAGACCCTTTTTTTTGCATCGACATTTAGAGTCAGCCCAAAGATAATTATTTTTGAAGAAATCCCTGTATTTCTTTACTTTTATTCATCAGTAAAAGTGTTTTTGCAAAGAAAACTATAGATTTTTATTCAGGGGAGACATGTTCTTTTTACTCAAGTGTGTTAAAAAGAAGCAAATATCTAAAGCCCTTGGTAATGATTCATTTTACATTACAAATTAACGATATTTAGCTAATTCAGGTTTCACCCTTTTGCATCAGGTTTGTCTAAGTGGCTGTGTCTCCCATAGCAGTTATATTTTATATTACCGTTTTAATTAATTCCTTTTAGCTTTTCTAGAGTGCACAGAAATTTCTGGAGGACTTCATGCAAGTACTGTGTTTCTGAGATTGTATGAATTTAATTAAATATTTTGTGCTTTCAGGCCACAAGTAGCTCTATGTCTTCTTCCCCCATAAAATCCCGTCTCCACATGAGAAAGAAGCTCTTCAGGCTCTCACTGTCGGTAACCAAACTTCACATAAACATACATACAGATGATGCAGGTTCACCAACTGGCAGATCTCACTTCAACACATTAGACTTCAAATTTTAAATTAATCTTTTTATATTGTTTGAACAAGACAAATATCAATGGCATGATTTTCATCAGTATTTTGATGTACAGTATCTGTTTTTAATCAAAGGTCATCATAGTACCTCCAATGATTTAGTCCATTTCCTGTTGAAGAGAGCAATCTAGTGATTAGCACTAAATTACTGCATGAGCAAGAAAAATGAGGAATAAATCTGCTGAGAACTTACACCGTTTGATACCGTGATTCTGCTGTGAATCGTAACTTTTCAAGGGTGCCGTGAATCGCATCATGTGACATTTAAGGCTGGTTAACCACACTTCCAACGTGTTTGGAGGTAACGATAATATTCTCTTTGATGCTTTCCAGGTTCTGGAGGCTTGTATGAACAATTGTGGAAAGCGGTTCCGCAGCGAGGCAGCTAAGTTTCGCTTTCTGAATGAACTTATCAAAGTCTTAACGCCAAAGGTAACTCACAGGTGTCATAGACCCACTAACATAAATCAGTGCAGTTAATAAACGTATCTGAAAACCTATCTGGTCCAAGTTTAACACAGTTTTTTCACTTTGAAAAGTAGATAGTTGATGTTTAATTTGTCCTTTCAAAATAAGCTTTTTTTATTACTCAATTCATTTGAGTTTAGTTCTTCAAAAAAAAAAAAGCTCAATATGAAGATTTGTGTAACATACTTTATTCATCATAAAGATAGTTTACTGTTGTAGTAAAAACAACCAATGTGCTGAACAATATTCCAAAGCTACAGCAAATTATAAATGAAAACCTAAACTTCGAGGATGAACTGATTCTGGTTTTTAGAGCCGATATCGATTTGTGATTCTTGTGTAGTTCTGACCTGCCAAAACAGATTTATTTCAAAGAACTACTGCTTTAAATTTCTGATGATTTTGAAAATGATTTTTCTGGAAGTAAAACAGAGTCTGATTAGTAAGACTGTTGATCTGATGTCCATTTTCAATGTTGTGAGTGACCAGAAAAAATGAAAAAATATCCTTGTTGTCTCAATAGTTGTGAAAGAGACCTTAAAAGAAAAATACTTTCTTAACATAATTTCTTTTTCTATAAATCTTGGTATTTAAATTATGGTTCGGTTAAATAAGGAATCTAACTGTTTTGTAATTTTTATGCATTTCAGTCAGATCAGCATAGTTTAATTATCATCACCTACTGATTTCAGTCCTTTGGCGCGTGGAGTCCACAGAAAGTTAAAGACAGAGTCACGGAGGTCTTCTACGGCTGGACGCTCTGGCTTAAAGAGGAACCTAAGATTCAGGAAGCCTACAACATGCTGAAGAAACAAGGTGAGGGACAACACTAATCGTGATTTTTTTTCTGCAGGATTTTGCCAACCTGAGAAATACCACATTAAAAATTAATGTTATGTTTACCAAAACTAAGAAAATTTTCAAGAATAAAATCCTCTCATCTCTCTTGTGTTAGGCATCGTGAAGAAGGATCCCACACTTCCAGACACAGTTGTTATGGCTCCTCCACCTCAAAGAACCACAGAGTTTGTTTTTTGATCAAGACGACAAGGCCAAGGTGACAGACCGGAGTAACTTTAAAACAACACACTCTATTTTATTTGTTCAACAATTCTGTGTTTAACTTAGATGTTGGTTAGACTACTGAGGAGTGGCCATCCTGAAGACCTGGAAACCGCCAACAGGCTCATTAAAAGCACCATCCAGGAGGCGAGGAGCACTGCAGCACTGCTGGTCCTCATATTTGATTTAATGGTGGTATGGATGAATCTTTGGATGAATCTTCGGTTGTGTCTTAGGAGCAGGAAAAGGCTGAGAAAGTGTCAAAGCGAGAGTCAACCCTGATGGAGGTTGAGAGCAGCACCAACCAGCTGAGAGAGCTTCTGTATCAGCACATCGATAATGAAACCTCGTTACAAACCAGTGATGACATGAAGGCATGTTGCGTTTCAAACTGATGTTTGTTAATAATATCCGACTGTTAACAACAAAAATTACTTACCAGAGTCTTACTCCACCCACACTTCTTTTTTGATATTTCATCACTGTTTTGGGTCTGTTACAGATCTTGGCTGAACATTTGTTATTTTATTGTAAATTTCAGATATGCCATGTATTTAAAATGTTCAAATAAGTGTAACCGTCAGTACTGTTATGACATATTTCCATTAACACTAACAAGCTTCCGGTTTCACTCTGTAACCAGTTGCCACCCTCAGTTAGGCTGTCCCCATATCTGCCGGTCTTTAAGAGTTGCCTAAAACCCCACCTCCTCCGCTCGACGTTCCCCTGAACGTGTTTGAGGTCGGCCTTCTTTTTTGTTGATTTTATTTCCCTGTTTTCATTGGTGTTTTTATCCCTTGTTTTATCCATTTGTTTCTACTTTTAAATGTTTTACCTTTTTTGCACTATTTGAATTGCTTTTATTATCTATTTATTCATTGTGTTTCACATTTCTTATGTACTGTGTTCAGCGCCTAGGGCTTCCTGACAGGGTTTCGGAAGGCGCTTTATAAATAAAGCTCTGATTGATTGATTTGATTTACCTTGACATTCTGACCATAAACATTAAATTGCTCACTCTTGCAGTTTTAAAGAGTCTCTTATTTATTAATTCACAGCACTCTTAAGTAAACCTAAAACTTAAAATAAAAGGCCTAATATTCCTGGAACAAAACTTTATATACAGCAACTTTTATAACAAAACTGAAATATTCACTTCATCTATTAATATAAGATGATGCCAGTCCAACATTTTGGAATAAGAATTGAAAATAATTATATTTATCATCTTGCACACTCCCAGCTGTTTTGAATGGCAAACCTATGAACACACCGAATTTTAAGTTAACACCTGTGAAATCGAATGGCTTGTAGCCATTTTGCTAATGAATTGTCCTGCTTGCTCAGTCTCTTGTAGTTGTTGCGTCCTTTGGTAGGACACTTCACCCTTCCGGTCTGCTGGTACCCCTTATGAGGGGTGGGCGGGCCCCACATATTACATATTATGTTGTCAGGAATTAAGAGTTAGACTACATCGGGTATCGATAAACAAAAAGTCAATATCGAACACACTTTCTCAAAACTAATTACCAAATTATGGAGTTACACTACATATAAACACCTGCAAACTTGCATCCAACATGGACTTTCTGGGAGTTGGGTGTGTGTGTTTATTTTCAGATCTTACAGCGTATTTATATGTAGTGTAACTCCATAATTTGGTAATTAGTTTTGAGAAAGTGTGTTCGATATTGACTTTTTGTTTATCGATACCCGATGTAGTCTAACTCTTAATTCCTGACAACATAATATGTAATATGTGGGGCCCGCCCACCCCTCATAAGGGGTACCAGCAGACCGGAAGGGTGAAGTGTCCTACCAAAGGACGCAACAACTACAAGAGACTGAGCAAGCAGGACAATTCATTAGCAAAATGGCTACAAGCCATTCGATTTCACAGGTGTTAACTTAAAATTCGGTGTGTTCATAGGTTTGCCATTCAAAACAGCTGGGAGTGTGCAAGATGATAAATATAATTATTTTCAATTCTTATTCCAAAATGTTGGACTGGCATCATCTTATATTAATAGATGAAGTGAATATTTCAGTTTTGTTATAAAAGTTGCTGTATATAAAGTTTTGTTCCAGGAATATTAGGCCTTTTATTTTAAGTTTTAGGTTTACTTAAGAGTGCTGTGAATTAATAAATAAGAGACTCTTTAAAACTGCAAGAGTGAGCAATTTAATGTTTATGGTCAGAATGTCAAGGTAAATCAAATCAATCAATCAGAGCTTTATTTATAAAGCGCCTTCCGAAACCCTGTCAGGAAGCCCTAGGCGCTGAACACAGTACATAAGAAATGTGAAACACAATGAATAAATAGATAATAAAAGCAATTCAAATAGTGCAAAAAAGGTAAAACATTTAAAAGTAGAAACAAATGGATAAAACAAGGGATAAAAACACCAATGAAAACAGGGAAATAAAATCAACAAAAAAGAAGGCCGACCTCAAACACGTTCAGGGGAACGTCGAGCGGAGGAGGTGGGGTTTTAGGCAACTCTTAAAGACCGGCAGATATGGGGACAGCCTAACTGAGGGTGGCAACTGGTTACAGAGTGAAACCGGAAGCTTGTTAGTGTTAATGGAAATATGTCATAACAGTACTGACGGTTACACTTATTTGAACATTTTAAATACATGGCATATCTGAAATTTACAATAAAATAACAAATGTTCAGCCAAGATCTGTAACAGACCCAAAACAGTGATGAAATATCAAAAAAGAAGTGTGGGTGGAGTAAGACTCTGGTAAGTAATTTTTGTTGTTAACAGTCGGATATTATTAACAAACATCAGTTTGAAACGCAACATGCCTTCATGTCATCACTGGTTTGTAACGAGGTTTCATTATCGATGTGCTGATACAGAAGCTCTCTCAGCTGGTTGGTGCTGCTCTCAACCTCCATCAGGGTTGACTCTCGCTTTGACACTTTCTCAGCCTTTTCCTGCTCCTAAGACACAACCGAAGATTCATCCAAAGATTCATCCATACCACCATTAAATCAAATATGAGGACCAGCAGTGCTGCAGTGCTCCTCGCCTCCTGGATGGTGCTTTTAATGAGCCTGTTGGCGGTTTCCAGGTCTTCAGGATGGCCACTCCTCAGTAGTCTAACCAACATCTAAGTTAAACACAGAATTGTTGAACAAATAAAATAGAGTGTGTTGTTTTAAAGTTACTCCGGTCTGTCACCTTGGCCTTGTCGTCTTGATCAAAAAACAAACTCTGTGGTTCTTTGAGGTGGAGGAGCCATAACAACTGTGTCTGGAAGTGTGGGATCCTTCTTCACGATGCCTAACACAAGAGAGATGAGAGGATTTTATTCTTGAAAATTTTCTTAGTTTTGGTAAACATAACATTAATTTTTAATGTGGTATTTCTCAGGTTGGCAAAATCCTGCAGAAAAAAAATCACGATTAGTGTTGTCCCTCACCTTGTTTCTTCAGCATGTTGTAGGCTTCCTGAATCTTAGGTTCCTCTTTAAGCCAGAGCGTCCAGCCGTAGAAGACCTCCGTGACTCTGTCTTTAACTTTCTGTGGACTCCACGCGCCAAAGGACTGAAATCAGTAGGTGATGATAATTAAACTATGCTGATCTGACTGAAATGCATAAAAATTACAAAACAGTTAGATTCCTTATTTAACCGAACCATAATTTAAATACCAAGATTTATAGAAAAAGAAATTATGTTAAGAAAGTATTTTTCTTTTAAGGTCTCTTTCACAACTATTGAGACAACAAGGATATTTTTTCATTTTTTCTGGTCACTCACAACATTGAAAATGGACATCAGATCAACAGTCTTACTAATCAGACTCTGTTTTACTTCCAGAAAAATCATTTTCAAAATCATCAGAAATTTAAAGCAGTAGTTCTTTGAAATAAATCTGTTTTGGCAGGTCAGAACTACACAAGAATCACAAATCGATATCGGCTCTAAAAACCAGAATCAGTTCATCCTCGAAGTTTAGGTTTTCATTTATAATTTGCTGTAGCTTTGGAATATTGTTCAGCACATTGGTTGTTTTTACTACAACAGTAAACTATCTTTATGATGAATAAAGTATGTTACACAAATCTTCATATTGAGCTTTTTTTTTTTTGAAGAACTAAACTCAAATGAATTGAGTAATAAAAAAAGCTTATTTTGAAAGGACAAATTAAACATCAACTATCTACTTTTCAAAGTGAAAAAACTGTGTTAAACTTGGACCAGATAGGTTTTCAGATACGTTTATTAACTGCACTGATTTATGTTAGTGGGTCTATGACACCTGTGAGTTACCTTTGGCGTTAAGACTTTGATAAGTTCATTCAGAAAGCGAAACTTAGCTGCCTCGCTGCGGAACCGCTTTCCACAATTGTTCATACAAGCCTCCAGAACCTGGAAAGCATCAAAGAGAATATTATCGTTACCTCCAAACACGTTGGAAGTGTGGTTAACCAGCCTTAAATGTCACATGATGCGATTCACGGCACCCTTGAAAAGTTACGATTCACAGCAGAATCACGGTATCAAACGGTGTAAGTTCTCAGCAGATTTATTCCTCATTTTTCTTGCTCATGCAGTAATTTAGTGCTAATCACTAGATTGCTCTCTTCAACAGGAAATGGACTAAATCATTGGAGGTACTATGATGACCTTTGATTAAAAACAGATACTGTACATCAAAATACTGATGAAAATCATGCCATTGATATTTGTCTTGTTCAAACAATATAAAAAGATTAATTTAAAATTTGAAGTCTAATGTGTTGAAGTGAGATCTGCCAGTTGGTGAACCTGCATCATCTGTATGTATGTTTATGTGAAGTTTGGTTACCGACAGTGAGAGCCTGAAGAGCTTCTTTCTCATGTGGAGACGGGATTTTATGGGGGAAGAAGACATAGAGCTACTTGTGGCCTGAAAGCACAAAATATTTAATTAAATTCATACAATCTCAGAAACACAGTACTTGCATGAAGTCCTCCAGAAATTTCTGTGCACTCTAGAAAAGCTAAAAGGAATTAATTAAAACGGTAATATAAAATATAACTGCTATGGGAGACACAGCCACTTAGACAAACCTGATGCAAAAGGGTGAAACCTGAATTAGCTAAATATCGTTAATTTGTAATGTAAAATGAATCATTACCAAGGGCTTTAGATATTTGCTTCTTTTTAACACACTTGAGTAAAAAGAACATGTCTCCCCTGAATAAAAATCTATAGTTTTCTTTGCAAAAACACTTTTACTGATGAATAAAAGTAAAGAAATACAGGGATTTCTTCAAAAATAATTATCTTTGGGCTGACTCTAAATGTCGATGCAAAAAAAAGGGTCTTTTCTTTTTAAAAATATTATGATTTTCTTTTGTTGTCTTCTAACTTCCTGTTAGTGATCATAACATACTGATTTACACAGGACTGTATGTTGCAGGCATCTCATGAACAAGCAAGCAAAGATCCTAAAACAGGTCTGCTCTGAACTGAAAACTTTTTTTAGAAAGATCTAAATGCCCTAAAACAGCGCAAAAAAAAAATCACAGCTGATCACAAAGACTTTCACATATTCTTCATAACGATATTTCTATTTAAATTGGAAAAAGTTTAAGGTGTTTAAATAACACCTGTGCCGAGATTAGTTTCAGACATGAGTCATTAATTACTCATCTAGATTTTACCAGCATTTTTCCTTTGAAACCTACTAAATAAAAAGGTTAAAGGAAATGCATTGTAACATGTTATTCTTTTATGGGATTTTATAATGAAGTATTTATAAGAATCGTTGGATTTAGTATCAGATAAGGTTCATTTAGTAGTTACAACTCTGGTAAAAACACCAGTACGTTTTACTAACCTACGTTTGCTGGAAACTCTTCCGAGTTACTTTAATTTTGTTTTCGTGTGACATGAAAGTAGATTATTAAATCACCGGCACAAATGATACAGCGCTCGAGCGCCTCTCCCTCAGGCACGCGCACAAGCTAAGCAACTTCCTGCTCCAGCTAAAATTATTTCTACTTTTAATATTATTTTTATTTAGTAAAAGCTAAATAAAGTGCGGACAGAGCATTAATAAGCGCTGCTTTACATAAATGCAATAAAGTTTAAACACCGAGTGGAAATGACGTTTTTGGTGACATTTACAGCAACCATCGGTGGAGATGAAATGACGAGATGCAAGCTAGCATCGCGTCTCATCCTTAAACAAGCAGCTAAAAAGTAAACTTTTGTCTGTAGCGTGTTTACTTACTGAGCCTGCGTGTCCACCACAGTCGCCATAGCTGCCCGTCTCTAACTGGTGCGGGGACAGTTTCTGACCGGAGCGTGTCTGCGCTTGAGGCGAAGGTGTCAAACTGCAGTTTGTTTATGGTGACATGTGACCAAGTTACACAAAACACCCCTTCCCCTCACTGAGGGCGATTCGTCTAACTGCAATATTTTAGAGGAAATTCTTTTACATTTTGACACAATAACTTTTATTCTTAGGTGGAAAACAATTACAAATAGCTATTTAGGGGTTTTAACTCAGAATTGTCATTAAGAGTTGATTTTACTTCAGATTATTTTACAAATTTATACTACTTATCACGTCGTTGTTCAATTTTCCAAGCAACTAGATAATGGAAATAACTTTTAAAATGCCTGTAAATTGTTGCCGGATTAATATTTCCTATTTCCAAAATACAGATTTCTTATTTGTTTGTAAATATCAGTAAAATAATGATCATTTAAATAAAAGTTAAACAACTTTGTGGTCATTTAATAATAGTTCTGCTTAATAAAGGTTAAAGTACAAGCAAATGAGGCGTGTGCTTTTTTTTACACTCATTTTATGTAAATGTTCATTCTAGAGTGATTTATTTGTTCATATTAAAAGGGTAAAAGCACTGCGGCACTTCCTCATCTGTGTGCACAAATACAGGTGGTTCAATAAATCCTCAAGAAAAAAGAAACAAAACATACAATTTGTTCTCAACTCATTTATAAAATTATTTTCATTGAATAAATAGTATTATTCACCATGACAGTTTCATGTGAAATTAGACCTTTAAGTTTTGTCATATTAGCCACATGTGGGATGACTGACAGTCAGTGAGCTGATTTGAAGCTGCTCTGATCTTTAACTCATGTTTTGTGTGTGTGTGTGTGTGTGTGTGTGTGTGTGTGTGTGTGTGTGTGTGTGTGTGTGTGTGTGTGTGTGTGTGTGTGTGACAGTGGAAACAAAAAGTCACAAAATGTGACACTAAAGGCAGGAGGCGAGGGGTTAAGCTTTCAGTGTTGATGATGACGAACCAAAGGATGCTGTTCACCTAAATAGCTCTTTGAAACAATAGTAAGTCATTTGCTTTGTGAGTATCACCGTGCCAACTTGTTTAGAATGAGCTTTAAGAAAGCTCAACAGTTCTTTGTTGACCAACTTCCTGGCACTCTTTCAAACAAGCCCACCTGCAGAACAATAAGTAAGTTAAATGCTTTGTGGTTGAGATGGGTGATTTTGTTGTAAAGTATAAGGAGAGGTGTGGCTGAATGGCTGATTAGAGTTGGTAACCCCAAATTCTTTACTTGTCTTAGAGAGAGTCATGCATTTCGTGAAAGGGGAAAGTGGTTTAAATGTGTGTGTGTGTGTGTGTGTGTGTGTGTGTGTGTGTGTGTGTGTGTGTGTGTGTGTGTGTGTGTGTGTGTGTGTGTGTGTGTGTGTGTGCTTACAGCCTCTGATGATTCATCCATTATTTGAGGTGCTGCTGGACAGAAAGTTTTACACAATAGTTTTAGTTCTGGTCAAAAAGTGTCAGTGAGCTGCATGTAAATAACACATTTAAACACAAAGTTTAAGACTGAACATACGAAATCCAACGTGAACATATGCCAGATGGCTGAGTAAATCAAAGAGATTATTAATGACATAGACAATGTGTCACTCTGAAGAGTTTGTGTGTGTTCAGCAAAAGGCTGCAAAAGTTCTTGCATTGACTTCAGCTTATGCCACTCACTCGAGAGCAAGCAGACCATCCCATTTGCTTTGTGAGTTGTCGACTAAAAGCGTCACACTGAGGTAAGGATCAACTTTTATTCTTATAGGCTTGAGTATGCAGGGTGGTTTACAACAGAACCATAAATGGTTTAGGATGGCAAACCATTGCTTTTCTGAAGTGAGAGAAATGTATGAATGGTGTTTAGAGTTGGTAACAGAGAGAGTCAGACATTTTCTGAAAGGGGAAAGTGCTTTAAATGTGTGTGTGTGTGTGTGTGTGTGTGTGTGTGTGTGTGTGTGTGTGTGTGTGTGTGTGTGTGTGTGTGTGTGTGTGTGTGTGTGTGTGTGTGTGTGTGTGTGTGTGTGTGTGTGTGTGTGTGCTTACAGCCTCTGATGATTCATCCATTATTTGAGGTGCTGCTAGACAGAAAGTTTTACACAATAGTTTTAGTTCTGGTCAAAAAGTGTCTGAGAGCTGCATGTAAATAACACATTTAAACACAAAGTTTAAGACTGAACATACGAAATCCAACGTGAACATATGCCAGATGGCTGAGTAAATCAAAGAGATTATTAATGACATAGACAATGTGTCACTCTGAAGAGTTTGTGTGTGTGTTCAGCAAAAGGCTGCAAAAGTTCTTGCATTGACTTCAGCTTATGCCACTCACTCGAGAGCAAGCAGACCATCCCATCTTGTTTGCTACTTCACAAACAGATTCTTTAACTTTGAGGAGACGTACAACCATTTCATAAGTACTTGACCAGTGTGTGGGGCTGTCATTCACAGCAGTTAGGCCGCACTCATCCACTGTCAGTGAGCCATTTTTTTCTTAGAGCTCGGCTTTTCACCATTCGGACAGATCTGAGCTTTTAAAGAGTTATACACAATAGAATTACACTCAGAAGGGAGGGGGGCTGTGGGAACCGATGGGCTATCACAAAAAGAAACTTCACACGCCATTACACACATTAGCCTATGACGTGGGGATCATGGACATCTGGACACGTTCAACAATACGCCATTGATGATGCGGCGTGGGGGGTCTAGGCCATCTGGACAATTAACAATACACATGTCCATTTGATTAATGATACGGAAGGGGGGGGAAAGATTGAACAATACACCTGTCCATTTGATTAATGATAGGAAAGGGGGGCAAGGTCAAGGGTCAAATGAACAATAGGACTGAAAGGTCAAAAAGGTCAAAGAACAATAGACCTGTCAAAAAGTTTGACGAAAGGTGTCTTATAATTCTCTCTGAGATTATTACTGTGAAGCACTTTTTTGAAGGCACCATACAAGAAAAAAAACCCTCTTCATCTACTTTATACCTTGAAATGAAATGTTTCAAATCTGACTGAATTATGGGAGGTTTTACAAGATGTAATTTGTTTATGTAGCTTTTAGAACACAAACCAAAAATCAGTAATTTCCAAATAATTAATCAGAGAGCAAAAATGAAACAAAAGCTATTAATAATTGTAATAAATAAACTTAATATAACATTGAACACACAAAAATATGAAATCTAGTATTGATGATAGAGAACTACAGCTAATATCCTGCAGGAGTCTGTGCTGCATTGTCCCTGTTGTGCATTCATTTTAAAGACTGTTGTAACTTGGATAAAGGTTTTCAATCAATCAATCAATCAAATTTTATTTCTAAAGCGCTTTTCAAACAAAGTGTGATTCAAAGTGCTTTACAAAATGACCCCAGATTCCCATAACAGGTTAAAAACATTAACAGACATATGCAATCACACGCACACACACACACACACAGACACACACACACACGAGTAAAAATTATATTAGGCTGAGTCCAGATGAGCCAAGTATGGTAACGCAAGGAACGCCATCAGAGGAGCCGTCTGTCCCGGCAGCATCAGGTCTTCCACACTAAGTCAGGGCGCTCAGTGGAGGGGGAGCATAGACCCCCACCTATAGAGCGCCCAGGAAGCTACAGTCGACCACCGCTCCCGGGGCAGAGGGCCCCCACAGAGGAAACACTGGATTAAAATTAGTAAAAATGTAATAAAAGAGCTAATATAAATGACAAAAATTAGAAAATAAGTAATAAATAAAATGATATAAACAGTAAAATAATAATTTAAATAATAAAACTGTGCCAAAATATAATCATATAGAACATGCAAAGCAAGTAATAAAATATAATCATGTAAAACGAGAAATAAAACTGTAGAAAATATTTAGATAACAGCTAACCTAAAAAGACGGGTCTTGAGTCTTGACTTAAAAACATGAACGTTCTCTGCGGCCCTGAGGTCCTCTGGCAGCTCGTTCCAGAGGCGAGGGCCATAACACTGGAAGGACGCCTCGCCGTGAGTGTGTGTCCTGACTTTAGGGATGACCAGGAGATGCCTGCCAGAGGAGCGCAGAGTCCGCGAGGGTTCATATTGTAAAAGCAGTTCTTAGAGATAAGAAGGCCCAAGACCGTTAAGACACTTAAAAACCATTAGAAGAACCTTAATATTGATCCTGAAACATACGGGGAGCCAATGCAATGATTCTAAAACTGGTGTCATGTGCTCCCGCCTCCTGGTCTTCATCAGGACACGTGCTGCCGAATTTTGTAGAAGTTGTAAGCCTGAGATGCTCTTTTTGGGAAGACCAGAAAGCAGGGCATTGCAGTAGTCTATCCTACTGGTGATAAAAGCGTGCATCAGCGTCTCCGTATTGGCCCGAGAGAGAATGGGGCGGACTCTGGCGATGTTCTTTAGATGATAAAAACCTATTTTTGTGATATTTTTAATGTGTGGGATAAAAGTCAGCTCAGAGTCAAAAATCACACCCAGGTTCTTCACTTGTTCAGATGGATTAAAAGACAGAGATTGTAATTTCGGTAAAAGCTTCTCTCTCTGGGCCTCAGGACCAATGACTAAAACTTCAGTTTTGTCCTGGTTGAGCTGGAGAAAGTTCTCTGCCATCCAGGATTCGATGTCTAAAATACAGTTAAAAAGTGCATCCATTGACCGAGAGTCATCCGGAGACACGGAGATGTACAACTGTGTATCATCAGCATAACTGTGAAAGTTAACCCCGTGTCTCCTGATGACTCCACCAAGAGGGAGCATATAAAGATTAAAAAGCACTGGGCCTAAAATTGAACCCTGGGGCACACCACAAATGATAGCCTATATTGTTACACATATATCAATTTCATTATGTACAGAGCCTGGACCCTCCCATTGTCAGGTTGGGTCAGGACAAAGTATAACGTGTTCATGCAAAGTTGTCCAACTTTAAAATTTTATGTAACCCTAACTGACTCCGGTTTGAACTGTGTGCTTATTTTGTGTCTATAATGAAGCCATGGAGACTAAATAAAGAAGTCACCTTGTGAGCAGTGAATCCTTAATTTTTGTCAGTCATACAGAAATACTTGATTTCAAGAGGAAAGACAGCTGAACATGTAGTTATGTAAAGCTTTGACACAACATGAAAATTTAATTAGATATCCAAATTTGAATTTTATCATCAAATAAAATTTTAGAATAAATAAACACATTTTAAGGGA